CCACTCCCCCTGCTTGTGTTCCCTCTCTCGCTGTGTCTCTCTCTGTCAAATAAATAAAAATCTTAAAAAAAAAAAAAAAGTTAACCAGGTGGAGCCAATGTAAGAAGAAGGGCTCAGTTGTTAAGTGTCTGCCTTCGGCTCAGGTCATGATCCCAAAGTCTTGGGATTGAGTCCTGCCTTGGGCTTCTTACTCAGTGGGATCCTGCTTCTCCCTCTGCCTGTCGCTCCCCCGGCTTGTGCTCTTTCTGTCTCTCTCTCTGTGTCTGACAAATAAAATCTTAAAAAAAAAAAAAAAAGATGGATACAGGAAGATCACTCAGAGTAGAAGGTGGGGCAACGAACACAGAGGCTGGAGAGATAAACAGGCTTGAAAATGCTATGCTTTGGCTTTGAAGATGGATTAAGGAACCACAAGCCAAGGGATGCAGGAAGCCTCTAGAGGCTGGGAAAGGCAAAGAAATGATTTCTCCCCCAGAGCATCCAGAGGCTGCGACCCTGCTGAACCATTTAGACTTCAGACCTGCTGAATGCTGAACTGCACAATAATAGACTTATGTTGTTTTAAGCCACTAAATTGTGGTAATTTGTTACAGCAGCAATAGGAAATTAATATGCTGGTCAAGCCAGTTAGTCTGAAAATGAATGTGGGAGAGGGTAGGGAAACAGCCCCAATAATTACAGATATCCTGGGAGGCTCCCAGTGATTCTTTGTATTAAACCCCCAAAGGATTTCCCCAAAGAATCTTTTAGTTGGACAGTTTTTGCATCTTTTCCATCTGCCGCAGTCCCCAGAGGTCATCCTAAGATTGAGTCCATAACTTCAAATACCCTGGGATCTGAATTACCAACCTTGGTGGAGAGCCCACAGCCACAGGGCTTCTGCCTGCTCCTACATTAAAGGCCTGATAGCCTGTGCTCAGAAAGTCCATCCAGTGTTGCTCCCTAGAAGGGATCCTGGAGTCCCCATATCGTTTCAGTCCCTTAAAAGGTGCAGTTGATGTTCACACACAATGTTCAAGAAATGCTTTAAAGGCCCATGTCCACACAATCCTTCAATTCACAGCTTATACAAGGACTCCCTTCACCAGTTGTAGCCAACCTGAGACTTTAAGTAACACGGGGAGACCTTCCACAGGAGAGCACATTTCTGAAAGTCACCGACAAGGGCAGCCTCACTGCCTTCCCAAGGTCAGCAGCAAGGAGGAAGCTCTGCACTGAGCAATTCATCCTGTTGACTTGGTTTGGATTTCCTAAGTGGTGAAACTGGGATTTGGTACTAGGTAAAATTAGGAGGAGATTCAGGAAGGACTGAACATAAGATAAGAACAGGAGTCTAAGCTCATTTGCTTCCCTCCTTTCTGCCTTCCCCACCACTGACACACACATGGAATAATGTTTGCTTCTGCATCTACTGACAGATCTGGTGCCTGGCACTGAGTATGGAGTTGGAATATCTGCTGTCATGAACTCACAGCAAAGTGTACCAGCCACCATGAATGCCAGGACTGGTGAGTAGGAGGATTGGTGCAGAAGAAGACCAGGATACTCTGTAGGCCTAAGAAGCCATGGAGGCTTATCCTGGCAAGGCTTGGTCAGAAGGCAATGCCCCTTAATGAACAGGTCCCTGGATGACAGTTATCAGCCTAGAAACAACGTCTACCTGTGGATCTCTGATCTCTGTGCCTAACCTCTGACATCAACATGCAGGATAGTCTCCCTCTCTTCCCCACAGATCTATGCACATCTTCCATGGTCTGAAGGGCTGCCTGCCCACAGAGGTGGAAAATTCCAAATCGGTTAGTGTCATAACAGGTCCTATTTCTTTCTAGACCACCCCAGAACAGGCAGAATGTGATGTCCCTCACCATGCATAACAGAAGCCCTCAGAAAGGCCGCAAGGATAAAGGTTTAGATTTGGAAACAACCCATTAAATCTAAGGACAATGGAAAAGTCCACCTGAGACCCTTGTTATTCTGGATCCAGCAGATTTGCTTCCAAATTCTGGGTAAATTTCAAAGTCACTCTAGTACCTTAGGTACAGGCAGCCTGGACTGAGCTGGGGATTTTGAACCAATCCCTGTCCCAAGGCTTGTTCTAGTATAGACAACCTCTCTAGAGAACCACAAGGACATGGGTCCCCAGGAGTTCTCAAACTTGTACACCCATGGCCAGGTCAGTCAAAATGGCCTCAGGAACAGGGATAGCTACTGTTGCCAGGGATGGCATATCCCTACTTAATGGTGGCTCCTATTTTACCCTGGTTGGCTTGCTGAAAAAGGCTGGGAGAAAAATGAGTATAGAGAGCTTGACAATCAGCAGCCAGCTTTGTCCCAGAGGTGGATGTATTCTAGTGGTGTTGGACCTACTAATGCCTTTATGCAAATTGTCCATCTTTATACCATGCCTTTGGCCATCTTTCAAGGGGAAGGTGCTTAAAAAAATGTGAGATAATTGTCAGCAATGACAAGCTAATCATCGTGGTCAGCAGGCCTGTTGAGGGCTTAGAAATCCACAGGGAGGTCCAATTCCAATAAATACTGGCCGATCTATGGAACTTGTGTAAAATAGGCCACTTATGTTGATCCACAGAACTTGACAGTCCCCGAGACCTTATGGTGACAGCCTCCTCGGAAACTTCCATCTCCCTCATCTGGACCAAGGCCAGCGGCCCCATTGATCACTACCGAATTACCTTTACCCCTTCCTCTGGGATCGCCTCAGAAGTCACTGTGCCCAAGGACAGGACCTCATACACACTGACAGATCTAGAGCCTGGAGCAGAGTACATCATTTCAATCACTGCTGAGAGGGGTCGGCAGCAAAGCTTCGAGTCCACCGTGGATGCCTTCACAGGTACCAGGATAGCAGAAATCCCAGATGGGTTCAGGGATTAATGGATCTTAGTACAAGAAGGTCATCTAGGCAACCCACTCTTTGAATACCCCATTTTGTTTAGAGAAGGAGGAATGTGGGTAGAGAAAGAAGAGATAGAGGAGAAATTAATAAATATATCAAGATGGAATGGTTGGAAATAAGGAGGAGGGATGAGCAAGGCTACTTACATGCCAGAAAATTTGTATCTGGTTTTCTACAGCCTGGACAAAGGGGTTGATTCTGTTCATCTTCCCCTGCCTGCACTAAATCAGTGGGCATTCAGAGGATCCATGCAATCATGTTAAATTTCTCCCAGGATAAAGATTTTAAATCCTGGGTGAGTATTATGAATAACTCACAGAGGTTTTACCCTGCTGAGGGCATTCATTTTTCAGTATGTGGCCTAGAGAAAAGAGAGTAGACAGGACTGGAGAGTGAGAAGGTGGAAGCTGTGAGTCAGCAAGTGAAGGTGTAGTCCTAGTTTACAAGGAAAACAGATTGTTTCAGTCAGTTGGCTCTTCTAGCCCAGGGTCCCACACCTCACATATGTTTCAGAACCATCATCTCCTCTGCTTTGCAGGCTTCCGCCCCATCTCCCATTTGCACTTTTCTCACGTGACCTCCTCCAGTGTAAACATAACCTGGAGTGACCCATCCCCTCCAGCAGACAGACTCATTCTGAACTACAGCCCTCGGGATAAAGAAGAAGAGATGACAGAGGTCTCCCTGGATGCTACCAAGAGGCATACTGTCCTGATGGGTCTGCAGCCGGCCACTGAGTACATTGTGAACCTGGTAGCAGTCCACGGCACGGTGACCTCTGAGCCCATCGTGGGCTCCATCACCACAGGTGAGGCTGGAGGACTTGACAGCAGGTGGTGAAGAGAGTTCCTACAGAGGTCTCTAATAAGTCAATGAAATTTACAAAGAGAAATCCCCAAGGAGTAGGGGACTGCCTCACTTGGCTAGTGAGGGTTGCACAAAATGTATAAGATGGGAAACTTCCTTTTGGAAGGTAGGATGGACTCAATGTCTTGAGGAGGCCAGGGTTTGAATGCATTGGTCCAGAGGTTCTGACACTACCAGCATGAAGAGAGCTGGCCTCCAAGAGGAAACCCAATCTCTTGACTGCTCAGTAGGGTCACTCATACAAATGATGCTTCCTCAAAATTATATGGGACCAGCATGCAACCGTGTGTGAACCTGAGACTCAGAAAATGGGGTTGATTTGCATGTTGTTTAGAAAACACAGGCACCCTAAGATGAACTGGATCATTCTTGTCTCATCATTCTCAAATACAATCCCAGATATAAGTGTGCATGTGGGTGAGGACATGTGTATTTCTCTGGTTTCCTACATACTAACAAGAACTTACAAACTGGACAAGTGGATGAAGCACTAGTTGGTTTCAACCCTGGGATCCCCCAGTAGTCAAAAAAATGAACTATCCAGTACAGATGAAATGTAATTTAAGAAAGTGGATTTGTTCTGGACTTGTGCTCTGAAATCCCTCTAGACTCAATAGGCAGTTTTTCCAAATTGAACCGTAGGTGGCTGCTAAAAAAAATAAGAGAAATAGTTGGGTTTGTCCAAGAGAAGTTGTTCCAGAGAAAACGGCCATGTTACTCCCAGTTCAAAGCAAAACATATGAACTTAAAGGAAGGTTCCCAGTTGACATTCACACACAGGTAATAGTTGTTGCACAGCACAGAGCTTGCCAACGTGACTTCATGTTGTTAAAATATTCCCCATGAACATGGTTTTAGCCAATAACTCTGAGGTTTCATGTGAAACTTTGGCCTGAGCACGGCTTTAAGGATGCTCTAGTATAGAGATCTTGTCTGCCTCTGCAACACTATTAGCTCTTGGTCCACATGAAACCAAGGATAGGAATTGCTTTTTCACACTGTGCTTTCTGTCTTTTTCCCACAACTACCTGGGTCCTTATAGGAATTGATCCCCCCAAAGACATCACAATTAGCAATGTGACCAAAGACTCAGTTATGGTCTCCTGGAGCCCTCCTGTTTCATCTTTTGATTACTACCGAGTATCCTATCGGCCAACACAAGGTAATAAAGTTATTTGATTTCTCACAAATGGATGGGATTTGGAGCTAGGTGAAGATTTTTATGGAAGAACTACATATCCCAGAGGATATCACCCCTCGCTTGCATTCTCCTCCTCTCTGTAACATGTTCCATCACAATAAGAGTGGTTTCAGGAGGAGCAGCAAAGAAACCCTTAACTTGCCAACTCCTCTCACAAAAGGCTTAACTGTATTCACCCAGAAAGCAAGCCTTCCATCAGCAGAGTGAACCATGATAACTTGTCACCTTATCTAGGCAGTGTAGTAAGTAACGAAGAACCCTAAAGAATTCTGCCAAAAGCCAGGGTCACATTCACTTTTTTGAGAGAGTGAAGTCCAAGACTAGAATCCTGGGGGATGTCTAAAGACTCAGCTGGGCCAGATGAAGCCTTAGAGAAGACCACAGTGATGGTGGTCCTATTTCTGCCACTCCAGCCAAGTTATGAGTCAGAAAAAGTTGGCCCAGACATCCCCTGCTTCCTGCCAGTTCCTGTTGGTGCATGCCACATTGTTAAAGTAGAGGGCATGCCCACTTCCAGGGAGGTAGTTGCATAGTTTTCCAGACTACTCTCTCTGGGCTGCATGGACCACTCTGTAGCCATGACCTCTCGACTGCCTTAAGACCAGTGTGTTAGAAAACCACCTAGCCACCTTTTTTTCTATGATCCAAGGAACCTATAAAATGAGGGGGTAGGACCAGCATGCAAGGTCTCTTCAAGCTCCAACATTCCCAGTCTATGAACCATTTCTCCTTCCCCACTGAGTGCTGGGCCTTGCACCCATCTATGTTTCATGACAAAGTACTGCCAGAAGCTTCTATGTAGATTATACCATGAGCTGTGTTGATGAAGGATCTGCTGAACTTTAACAGTGGCTTCTTCTCTTCCTTAGTGGGACGGCTGGACAGCTCAGTGGTCCCCAACACAGTGACAGAATTCACCATCACCAAGCTATATCCAGCCACCGAATATGAAATCAGTCTCAACAGCGTGCGGGGCAGGGAGGAGAGTGAGCGCATCTGTACCCTCATTCACACAGGTAGGCATGTCCTCCTGTCATGAGCCAAGTCAGGATCCTGGTTGAGGACCTGCAACAGACAGAAGAGGCAAACAGTGGAGTTGTTCTCCTAATAAAGAGGACACAGATTCTGAGCTCAGAAGCTCCATTCCATTCACTCACTGTGTCATGCAAAGCAATTTGTGATTTCTCTCCCCTCTGGTATTGCCCTCTAATACCGGGAGTTTAGAGAGTAAGCCTCTTCTAAGAGTCTTATTGGTTTAGGTCAGAAATTTTCATGGAATTTTCAATAGGAAAAGTGACCTTTCAAAGACACATTATGGAAGTGAATTCCAGAACAGACATCTGAATCATCTCATCTAATTTTTTAAAAGACTCAGTCAAGTAAATTTTACCTCAGAGAAGGAAAGGGTTATTATTCCAGTAAAAACCCTTGGGTTCCTGAAATTCTTCATCCTGGCCAGAAGCCACCAAGTGGCTGCATTTGTTATTGCTTTAAGCTCAAAAGGTGGAGGCCTTCCTTTGGAAAATGAGCGCCTTGGATGGGCCTGGGGACAGGGCTCCTGCAGCAGCTCTATTTCTCCTCTTGCTCTGGTCCCTGAGTCAGCCCACCATGCAGAACTAGGAAAGACTTGTTATAGAAGGCACCAGAGGGGACAGCCAAAGTTTTCTGACCCCAGACCTAACCTCCCAGTTAAGCTATCATTCCCATAGCACATGGGAAATATCCAGCTTGCCTCGTTAGGAGAACACCAGAATTTCTTGAGGCTGCTTAATTTCCTCAGAGAAAGGCATTTCCTGAATGAGGAAAAGGTAACTTGGAATTCCTCACCACTTTTGTAGATGCTCTCACAGGCCCAGAAACATCTGTAAAGTAATGGCCAAAGAAACATGCCTTCAGAACATTTCAGAACCTAAAAAATTATTCTTCTAAAAAACACCACAGGATATTCTTATCTTCCCTAGTCTCCTTCCAGGTCTGTAACTACACATAATCCAGCCATGTTTTTGGTCCAATCTTTCCTTTCCATCAAATTATCTGTGACCATTAAGGAATCAAGAAATATTGACCCAAAGTGATGCCCAATGAATCAAAAGAAGCCCCCTCTCACCTTCCTGAAAGTCTTAGAAATTCATGGTAAAAAAATTAGACTTTTTCTCTTTGAGGACTGTAAGATGGATTTCAAGAGCCTCCTATCCCCTAAGGTAAAAGAAAGCAGCAACTTGGGTCAAAAACATCTCATTCCTTGGGTTCTTGGTCATAAGCAGCAAGTATCTGTAAAGCGGATATTCAGCAGTGTACCAACCCAAACCACCCTCCTTCAGGTTCAGACAGAGCTATTGTGGCAACTCCCAATAAACAGATTGCCCACAGAAATGTCTTCTTTTGTTGTTGTTTTAATGTGAGGTTTATGACTTTACAACTTTGGGAAATGAGCACTCCTTCAGGGTCTCAAAGTTAATCTCAGCGAGATCAAGCTAATTAGTCTCCGAAGATTTTCTTCTTTGTCTCTTTTCATATGGTTGCATTTGAAGAATTTGTTAAAGACACAGATTACATATAAAATTCAGATATTAAAATTTAAAAAAATATTTCACAGTTGTTGCTTCCAAATAAGTAACATAAGTAAACAATAGAAACCTTAAGTTAGAAAACAGGGCCAGATCAACAGCACCTCTTGGTCCCCAGGAGTAAATTACATGACACTTAGGTTGAGTTGATACCTAAACTATTGTAATAGCATCCATTTCTAAAATAAATCCCAACTTTATAGAAGGGAAGCATAGTAAGAAACAAAGGCATAGATCATGGGTAAATAAGAATAGGAACTTGGTCCCATGATGAGCAAACTCTGTTCCCCGCAACAGACACTAGTGACCTTTAGCCTGAAAGAATCCCCATGACTCTCCAGGCCACAAAAGGGATACCCAGGACTCAGTACAAAGGGAGCCTGTGAGTAGCAAAGCAAGAATTCACTCATCATATGTGGCTTTCGAGGCAACCTGAGTCCCATTCAGTCATTCCACAAGCACTTATTGAGTACCTTGTAAGTTCTAGGTGCTGTGGTTACTCCTTGACTTAATGGAACTCCCACCATACTTTCTGAAGTTCATTAACAGAGATCATTCCACAAGGCATGCTCCTTATATTTATGAAAGTGCAAATAGCCTGGGAAGCAAATTATCTCATTAACTAAAGAAATATAACAATTCCTCTATGTTCTTAGTTTCTCCATCTAGGTTTAAATGTGTAAAACACAGCAGCCATACCTTGGGATCCCCTGTAGCACCTGACAGTACTCTGCACATGAGAAGTTAATAAATGAATTAAAAGGAAGATCTGGGGCCAATCAGGAGAGAACTGGGTACTTGTGAGGAAGGAGGAAAGGGAGAAGAGGATGAGATTAGAAGGGAAGGAAGGAAAGAGGTTTCCACTCACTTCATTCTTTTGTGTGGCACAGCAGCAGACATGCATGATGGATGAAACTATAAGAGATCGTTCACTGCACTTCCATCCTTCAGTATCTCCTACCTTTACCTGATATTCTCTGGCTCTGTTTCAGCTATGGACAACCCTGTGGATCTGACTGCTACCAACATCACTCCAACAGAAGCCCTGCTGCAGTGGAAGGCCCCAGTGGGTGAAGTGGAGCACTATGTCATTATTCTCACACACTTTGCAGGTGAACGTCTTACAGGTCTATGCATCAGGCAGGGGGAAATGGTGGGGACAGGCACTGAAGACTATTATGAAAGTTTTTTTAAAAGGATGTTTTATCAATTTGAGGGACAGCTTAGAAATTTTCCTGCTTTACCTTCACTGTAAAGCTCTCAAGGTGTCCCTAAACTCTGCAAACTACATCAGCTATAGGAATTCAGAAAGCTGAATCTGAAAGGTACAAGAAGGCACAAGGTACAAGGTACAAGAATCTGAAAGGCACATAAACAAAAGCAAATATGAAAACAGAGAAATAGCACTTGGAAGATAAAATTCAAAATTGAGCTAAGACTTGCCCCCAAATGCTATAGGGAAGAAAGCACACTTCTCTAGATATTCATAGAGCAAGAAAAACATTAAAGCACCATGCTTGGAACAAATAATACATGGTAACAAAGGATCCAGAACTAGCAAACTCCAGTTGCTTTAGTCTTGTCTACCCATATCCAACACAAAAGGTTGAGCCAACATTAAATCTTGAATTTCAATGTCTTCTTACCATGCTTTTTCACCTTACGCTATTTGAAGTTGAATAAAGAAGCCCAAAGCAAAATAATGTTGAGTAATTCAAGTATCTAGGCCTAGGAAAGTTATTTCCTTGTCTAAATTATACATGTGATCACAGAATTGTTGTGGGTTATATTCAGGAATCCAGAGAAGAGAGCTATCAGAAGACAAGAGATAAGCAGATGTCTTAATTTTCAAAAATGACGGAGAAAGCCAATACTGTAAGCTGCAAAGTAAACTGATTGTTAAAGCTTGGGAAAATAAAAACCAAAACAGACTATTAAATAAATTGGAAAAAGATACCAGCACAGGTTCACTAAGAATAAGTTTTACCAAAGCCATTTTATATCTTTTTTTAATTGGCAAATCTGCTAGCACACTTGGATTTCAGCAAGGCATCAGAAAATCCTACTTATCACTTAGATGGAAAAATACATGATGGATCATATTTGGAGTAACACAGAATTTAGCTGATTGAATAGCTCTCCTCAAGGAATGAATACCATGACTATGGATACATCATAACCCATCTATGTGCATGCACAATCCATTTCAACTCCTGCCACCCCTCCTTGCATGTCATGGGCCTGCATTTCTTAACTCTCACCATGCCTTCCCAAACCACCACTCATTTGCATGTGTTGTTTCCTCTACCTGGAAATTCTCTCCCCATTTGTCTGCCTAGACAAACCCATCCTCTAAGTCTTAGTTTCAACACCATGTCCACTGTCAAAGCTTCCAGTATTCCCCTAAGGTAGTCAGACCCACCTGCTCACAGGTACAAAGTACATGGCTCCATCAGAGCAATTAACTTCCATTCATTCAACAAATATTTTGGATGTCCTCCCACGAGCCATACACTCAACAAGGCTGTAAGGATTCAGAGACAAAACACGGGTGCTTCTCTTCACAGAACTCACTTCTGGTGATGATGAGACCAGTACATTGTTACAATCCAATGTGAGCAGTGTCATGACATAGGCAATCACAAAACAGCTTGGGCCACATCTGATAGATCACTCATTGGGGACAAGGGTGTTGAGGGGAAGAAAGAGAGCAGATCCTAGATAAAGTTAGAGAAGGAGACTAGAAGAAAGGGAATTCTAAGACAAAAAGCAGCCTGAGTGCATTTGTAGAGATACAAGAGAACATAAGGACTTTTGAGCAACTGCCATGGTTTGATATGGCCAAACAGTGATGGCTGGCAGGATGTTGCAAATGAGGATATTAAAAAGATAGAGTCGGGCACCTGGGTGGCTCAGATGGTTAAGCGTCTGCCTTCAGCTCAGGTCATGATCCCAGGATCCTGGGATCGAGTCCTGCATCAGGCTCCCTGCTCAGTGGGGAGCCTGCTTCTCCCTCTCTCTCTCTGTCTCTCTGTCTCTTATGAATAAATAAATAAAATCTAAAAAAAAAAAAAGATAAAGTCATTATGTTTGCTCTTTCAAAGAGCTGGTTTGAATTTTTACTTGTTTGCATGCCTTCTATGCCTTTAGACCACAAGAAACTTGAAACTTCAGACCCTACCTTGTTTGGGGAAGTGCCCAGTAAACTTTTTAAATGCTGAATGACTCAGAAGTATTCTAAAGACACATAAATGGTGTGGCCCTGCTCTAATAAACAGTTTTACTGACAGCTAAATGAATATAGAGAAGACATGCGTAACACATTTGAATATAAAACAAAACTGTGTAAGTCAATGATATTGTAATTGTACGGGGAGAGATGGTAGCTGTGCTTGTGGTGAGCATAGCATAATATATGGAGAAGCTGAATCACTATGTTATATACCTGAAGCTAATGCAACATTGTGTGTCAACTGTACTTAAATAAAAAAATTTTTAAACTGTGGTCCATAGAATCCAAATTCAAATATATTTCAATAAGCGGAAACGGTGGTCCAAAACTTAATCGACAAGGCAAAATGCAGTAGAAATAAACGCAAAGCTCTGCCCATGGGTGCAAACAATCAATACTTTTAGAATTGCCACATACATGTAATGGTGGTTGGGGATACATTTTCTCAGCCTAGAGGAGAGAGGACTTGATTAGGAGGTATGGCGGGAAGGAAGGAGCCATGTAGACAGAGGATTCAGCTTATTCTTTGTAACCCCAGTGGCCTGAGTGCAAGTCACAGAAAAGACAATTTGGCCTCCAAATAAGGACTATTTTTCTCAATTAAGATGCAAAATGAGAGGGAATGCTCTTGTGGAATACAATGCTAAGTTAAATAACTTTTAAGAGATTCTTTCCAAAACTCTCTAATACTGAATCTTTACGAAATGCCTTTGGATTTGGTAAGGCTTTCCTAGTTTCAATAGCCTTATTCAATTTTTATCCATGTTCATCTGATTTCAGTTGCTGGAGAGACCATCCTGGTTGATGGTGGCAGTGAGGAATTCCAGCTCGTTGGCCTGCTTCCTAGCACCCACTATACTATTAATATGTATGCCACCAGTGGGCCTCTCACCAGTGGCACCATCAGCACCAACTTCTCTACCCGTGAGTACATGGTTGGCTACACATCCAGCATCTCTAGATGCTTTTGTGGATCTGAAAATTACCATTCTCCATGTGGTGCACTAGATGATAGTCTATAGGCTTTGGACAGTGCAGCTATGAGCTGTTTGTATTTCAGTTGACTGCTGCCCAAATGCCAGTGAAAGTGAGCTGCAGCTCTCGGGCTACAGACACCTGTCTGTTTCCTGCTCTCATCCTGGGTCTGGCTGACAGCAGTGGAACCAGGACCAAAGAGGCCAGTACTAGACATGCATCTGGCCTAGAAAAATCTGATGCATATTACAGGCCTTGATATGTGGGAGACAGTTGCTGGGTACAATCATGGCCAGAAGAGTAGACAGAGATATAGATGTGGGAATGATATAAGCTCAAGAGTGAACTCACAGACATGCAGATTTAACAAGGTCATGATTTCAGACACAGGTCAGATTGGAAGATGTCACACCTAGGCCCAGAGGCCCAGGTGAGGGAAAGGGGGAATAGTTGCAGGAATGATCATGACACTGACTGATTATCTTCTGACCCAGGAGCACCCTTTCTGCTCCTGTTCAAGCTAGAACTAGGGCCAGCGTGTAAGCTGCCCAGAGACCCAGAGACCACATAGGTGGGCAGAGAGATAATGTGCCTGGAATGCAATCCAACAGAGGGGAGCTGGAGAGGCAGACACTCCTGGCATTTTCTCCTCTTTGTAGTCCTGGACCCTCCAGCAAACCTGACAGCCAGTGAAGTCACCAGACAAAGTGCCCTGATCTCCTGGCAGCCTCCCAGAGCAGAAATTGAAAACTACATCTTAACCTACAAATCCACTGATGGAAGCCGCAAGGTAAGATTTTTCTGTAAAGGAGATTTTTCTATCAAGCTATCCAAAGGGAGCAAACTGGGTTTGCCATGATGGATACATACATGCTGTTGAGGAAAGAGCCTGAGTCTGCAAGCCAGAGACTTTGGTGCCTGTCCTGGCTTCGCTATTACTCTCTTTACAAGTTGAAGCAAAACAAGAACACTCTCTGAGCCTTAGTTTCTGCTCTAGATAATGGGGGTATCTACCTCTACAGCTGCACTTGGTTGTGGTGGGGCTTTCAGTATGATGATGAAAGGCACATTGGAAACTTCCAAGCCTATATAAGTACATAGTTTTTTTAAAAAATTTCGCTAGGAGGGCCAAGCAAACATGAGCAGGACACCAAATTCAACAGTCTTTTATGCCTCTTGATAAGCATTATAAAGGCTGCATCTATATAGCCTGCAGTAAAGAGATGACAAATTTCTGTGTTAGATGATCAGTTGAAACAGTACTTCTAGAGCACTGGTTGTCAAACTTCTGTTCACAATGAAATCTTATTTTTTAAAGTGAAATCATATTCAGAAGCCAAATATACACAATAGATTTAAGCAGAGCTAGTCTGTTAGATATGGAGGATGGAGGCCTAGGATTCTGCCTCCCTGGGTCCTGAGGAATCTCGTACAGTCAGAAAACCACTGGATTTGATCATTCACATGCCTACCTTTATGCCAATGTGTGAGGTAGGAGCTGCCTAATCTGTAAGGTAGGAGCTGCCTAAATCTCACACAGGAGCTGTCCTCTCTGCTTATTGTGCTCTCCTTGTTGTGGATTGGAGAGCACACAATGGCCTTGGCAATCCTGACCTAGCTGGCTGCAGGCTCTGGGCTTCCCTTCCCAGCTCCTTTCAATTGCATGCTGGTCACTCCCTTCCACCTGCTTTCCTCCCTTGTTCCACAGGAGCTGATTGTGGATGCAGAGGACACGTGGATCCGACTGGAAGGCCTGTCTGAGAGCACAGACTACACAGTGCTCCTGCAGGCAGCCCAGGACACTTCCCGGAGCAGCCTCACCTCTGCCACCTTCACCACAGGTGAGAGACACCACCCCTGTGGATGCCTTCTTCTTCCTTGCATGACCTCTGCCTCTTCCGAAGCTTCTGCTGAGGCTTGATCAGGGAGGAACCTCCCAAGGAAAATCAATTGCCTCTTCCTTTGAAGGAAAATAAGGGTTTCCTCCACTCCCCCCCTCCCCCTTCCAAGGCCCTGCCAGGAAACTTCTACCTGCCAAGGCAACCATAGGAACCAGCAGTACAAATCCTTGGTCCACCTGGACCCACTAAATGCACCAAGTGAAGACATCAGGTTCCTGCTCAGATTTTCTGCAAGTGTTTTCCCAGCAAAGTTCATCCTTCCCTCTTTCCTTCCTTCCTCTGCTGCCTGTGATCAGAGAATCACTTAATAAAAGTACCAAGAGTAAACCCTCTGTATTAAATCTAGGGTTCTTTTCCATACACAAAGCACTTTTGCATTCCTATGGTCTCAACTAAGTCCCTATAACAACTGGTGAGGAGGGCCTTATTATCCCCATTTCACAGATGATGAAACAGAGTGCATGGAAATCAAATGACTTCCATGGCTAGTAAGTGGCTGGGTCAAACTACAACCAAGGTCTTCTACTACTAAATCCAGCTGCTCCTCCTGCATTCCTCCAATTAAGTATCAGCAGAAATTACCTGAAATGTCCATAAGGGATAAGGGTGTCCTAATTTGTCTAAGATGAAATAAACTAGTAACAGGCACTGTTCTGACTGCATTACATGTACTACCTAATTCAATCATCATGACAGCCTATGAAGTATGTTCTATTATCCCTATTTACAGATGAGGAAATTGAGCCACACAGAGGTGAGACAACTCACCCAAGACCCCACAGCTCTTACATAAGAGAACTAAGATTTGACTCCAGTTAATCTGGTTGTGGGGACTGTGCCTGTTAACAATCCTTTCTGTCACTTCCCAGGGTCCCTCTCTACAGTCTGTATTGTGGAACTGCCCAGTTCAAAGTTCTGGGGGTGTGGCTATGCACATGTGTACGGCAAGTGTGAGGATTTCCCTTATCCCTAGATGTATGCCTGCCTGCCATCTCAGAGTACCTGGATGACAGGAATCCTGCCCATGCCCCAAAGCCCACCCCCCCCATCATGAGGGAGGTGACAGAAGATCCCCCATCCCTACCTAGGTGCCTCTCCCTGTAGACTTGTTCTAAATGACAAAGCAGGACACTGGATCAAATACACCAAAATGTTACCAGTGGTTCTTTAGGGTAGTGAGATTATGAATGAGTCCTCTTTTCCCTCCTTTTTTATATTTTCAATATCTTACAAAGTGTCTAGAATGAGCAAATTAATCAGAAAAACAATTTTTTATTTAAAAAACAAAACTAAGCCTTGGTCACATAACCAAACATGAATCTAAGATGGGTCTTTACCAAATAGAACTTGAAGGACACTTGATCCCTTTTGGGGGCTGAAGTCAATTATGCTCACCCTCCATGCTCTTTCACAGAGTGGCTTATCTCAGTATCAAGGTGCTACCCTCTCTTGTTCAAGCCCTTCCCTGCATATTCACAGGTTAAAGGGTCTTCCATGGTCCTCTTTTTCAAGCCACCACCCAAAGACCCATGGATTGGAGCTTTTCACTGAATTAAGAATTTCTTCCCCATAGAAAGGACACAGATGACAGAAACATAAACAGAGCTCCCAATTTGCATATTTATTAGGTCTAAACTAATCATTTCATCCCCAAAATGCATGGGTTTCAATGCTTGCTCAATGTAGTATGAGCTTTCAATTCCCATCCTAGTAATGCCACAGCTAGTGGGTGTGAGTAGTATGATAATATGCCTGAGGTTTCTGTAATATCTGGCAGCTGTGCCTTGCTCCAGATCTACCTGGGCTATAAAAGTATACCAGCTTCTGTGCCCACCACTGGCCTCTCTTACATGAAGCTGCCCCAGGGGTGTGTAATAGTATGGGTCTGGGATCTCAAACCCGGCTGGAGCCTCAGAAAGATCCAATAAGCTGAAGGTTAGCAATTCATGGAAATCTGTAGAGGAGGCCAGGGTAGTGGCTTTGTTTGGTGAACAGTGCAGAGGGACCATCAGGGTGTATTTAGGTGTTTGTTTCTTTGTTTTTATTGTTTTTATATGTTTGTTTTATTCTTATTGTTTTATTGACACTGGGCTCCTAGGGCATGACCAACACCAACTCAAAAAGGAGAAAACTGAAGAGCCCGCATTCCTGTATAACGAGTGTAGTTACTGACTGAGCCGCTCTATGTACAGTTTGGGGTACCAGAGAAGGACTTGCCACTACTATCGTGGTACATGGCAAAGATGTGTCCATGTTTGGAAGCCTTTGCAGAGTTTTACTGTAAAGCTCAAATTTAAATTTAAGTCACTGATGCACACCACACCCTGCTGGTCTCCCTGAAATGACTGGTTACAGAATGAAAAGTTTGTGGACAGAAGTAAGGCATATAAAAGTACCTTGCCCAAAGCCTGACAGATAGCAGACATAACGTTCAAAATGTTGGTTGAATAGAATAGTTAAATCCCAGCTGTAGAGCATGGAAGAGGGGTTTCTGGTGAAACAAAGCTATAGAAGGAGATTTTCAACATCCATCACAGGGATGGGACAGGCAAAGAAGTACTTTCTCCAGAGTATGATGCCCAAAGTCCTTCTAATTTCAGGTTCTTTCTACCACCCCAAATGCAAATTTTCCTGAATAAATTACACTAAGCTTACAAGTGTCAACATTAGTGAGTCCACTGCCTCTGCCATGCCCCTCCCCCACCTTTTCTACCACCTGCCCTTCAACTCCCCTGCCAAAAACAAATTTTATGAAGGAGGAAGAGAGTACAAGAGTACCAGCTTCCTAAATGTGGGGATCAGGATGTTATCAAGAAGGGAATGATTGGGGTTTGCCTGATGTGTGGCTTGAGCCAGATGCCTTGAGGAAGAGACCAGGAGAAGGGCCTCCAGTGTACAGGGCAGGTGCTACTCATACCAGGACTCTCCTGTCATCCCCGTAGATCTCCTAAAGATCCCTCCAGATTAGGCTTCCTCTGGGAAGAGTGGTCACAGTGGCTGTGCCTTGAGCCTGATTCTGGCTCCCCTGACCTTCAGCATATCTCAGCTCATCCTTTCCCTTCCTCTCTAACAAGACCCTCACTGACAGCCCCCCATGACACACACACATGGGAGCCACATAGTTCACCCTGCATGCTCCATCTGTGGGCCCCTGTTTGCCTAAAAAGAAGAAAGGGAGAAGGAGAAGAGGGAAAAGAAGGAGGAGGAGAAGGGGAAGAAGAAGAAGAAGGAGGAGGAGGAGGAGGAGGAAGAGGAGGGGGAGGAAGAGGAAGGGGAAAAAAGAAGAAGAAGGGGGAAGGGGAAAGGAGAAGAAGAAGGAAACAAAAAATGAAGAGCAGAGAATCTTTTTGCTTACTTGAAAGATTGGAGTGCTGCCAGTCTAAACCCCATGAATTATTCCTGCTGAGCAAGAGGTCTGAAAAACACCAGACCATCCTATATGACGGCAAATCAAGGCTGATGGATTTAGAGGCTAACTTCATTCTAGTAACCAGCATCCTTTCCGACTTCATTGATAGTACCTGAGCTTTCCACTTAGCAGCATCCTATTCTTAGGATGGGCTGATCTCAGCTGATCGTTCTAAGCATTTTTTATGCCTTGTCTTACGGAAAAAAGAGCCTAGAGCTGGGCCCCTAAGCGGCCTCCATCCACTGACAAACCCTCATCTTGCCTTGGGTGGGCCAAAATAAGAGACTCATTTCCAGCAGATGTCTACTTAATGGTCTGGAAAAGAGTTGTGATGTTTTTAAAAATAAAAAAGAAAGAGAGAACTAAAAGAAAAGAACTCGCTCCCACAAAACCTCAAAAACTTTCTTTGATCAAGATATCTTCCCTTATTGCCTTCCTGCCATATAGCATAAACCCATTTCATTCTTTCCATCATGTTAATAGCTTCCTGTCCTCTTGTCTCTGGTGTTTGCACAAGACTCTGGGGGGAATTAAATACAAGTAGTATGGAAGAGAAAAAATATGGATACGTTATTTATAATTTACTGTCGCCTGAAATTTCATTCAAGGTCTACTTGTCTTTCAGAGATATGAATATAAATGAGGAAACAAATATTCCCCATAGAGCAACAGAGACTTGGTGAAATGATCTTCTGAGAGGCAGGTTTCATTGTCTCTTTTAATACTATAAGAAGCAAACAAGACTCTCACTAAAGCTTGATCTCAGAGACAGTGAACACTATAAAATAGGTTGTCTTGACCTTGAGGTTAAGCGAAGACAATCATTTGTGGAGGTGCCCCGAGATGAGTAATGAGAAGTTTTCTTTATTGCCTTTGCTCCGGTCCTATCCCACATCCAGGCTGAGCTGCTCTCTGGAGCTTTTCACAAAAACTCTGGGAGTCTACTCTAACACAAGCTTCAGTTTTTGAAGCTGTAAAAATTAATAAAGATTGGCAAATCCTGGGTCCTGAGACAATAGATAGTGGGTCATGCAAATCCACCTAATTATCAAGTTGGGAAGTCCAATGACCACTGTCCACTGCTTTCTACTCTTATATACACCACACTTGCCCCCTCACCAAAGTAAGGAATCAACAGGCTTCTCTCTGCTCCACTACTTAGAAACAGTTAGAATACTAGCTTCATTGAAATAAGCAAACCCCCTAAAGGAGAAGTCCACCTTCTCCTTTCTTTGACACCTGATTGTGTGGAAGGAGGCAGGGCACTAAGCACCCCATTTGAACAAACCATTCCCATCCAAGTCCAGAGGAGATGTCTGAATTAACCATACTGCTCAGTTTATCTCACATCACCAATGTCAAATCTCCAACAAGGTCCCTCTCTGTACTTATTCATTTATTTCCTCCTACCCTCATCTCTTCTTCCGCCTTCTACATTCAACCATTCTGAGGTGTTGAATTTGTGCCCTCGTTTATATGTGTTTTTGAAAAATGTGTTCTTGCAAAAGTTTTTAGTAGAAATATTTTAAATGTATGTAAATGGTATTGGATTACATAACTCATCCTTTGTTCTCCTATTTTCTACTCAGCACTGTTTTTAAGATCCATCCATGTCATATGTGCATCTAGTCTTTTGCTTCCAACTGTTGCAAAATACTGCATGCTGTTCACCCATCACATTTTATTTCTCCATTCTCCCAAGATGGACATCAGATATTCCCCAACCTCCCACACCACAAATGGTGCTGCAGAGAATACCTTGTATGTGTCCACTTATGAA